GGGTGCAACAATGAATGAATGGAATTCCAAAATCTCTGTAGTTGTTCATTGAAATGAAAAATAAACAAAGTAAATTAAATTAAAAAAATGCTAAAATAAAAAAAATTTTAAAAACTCATTTCTGTAAAGACAGTACTGACTCCTCAGTGACACTCACTCCACTGGGCTTCAGAGTCCATAAATTTCATGGGAGGAGATTTTCTTCTTTCTCAGCCAGAGCTGCTGGTGAATTCAAGTAACCAGACAGACGCAACCATTCTTTCAGCCGCTACTGTCTCCTGTCCATACCCTCCCCCACTTTGACAAAAGTAACTTCTCAAGTTATGTGTGTTTAAATAAAGGAAGGACATTACTTTTTTGAAAATGAGGAAATGACACCATTAGAAAGCAGGAGATGGTAGAAATGATAACATCATGGAGGACCATACCTCAGTAGGCTATGGAAAAAACAGGATTGAGTACACATAGACTGAATTTTATTTCATACATCAGCAAAAGGATTATGTTTTGTTGAAAAGAAAATTCTGGACAGTTCCATGGTTTATGCTCCAGTGATTGGTTTCATCTATGTACATTAATTAACTGCTCATTTATTGGGCATTTTTGAAGTGGTTCCTTGTGGTGGTCACACCCACAGCCATTTTCCCAGTCACTGTGGTTTTGTTACATTGCTGTACTATGAATTCCAGAATATCCTTACTCATCTCTCTTTGTTTCCTCAGTATTACTTTCTGTGTCTGTACTCATGCTGTCAGTGACCTTTTCTAGATCTTCATCTGCCCAAAAGCATGGAATCTGTCCATCTTGCACACTGTTATCAACAGCCAGAAAACTGGTTAGCATAAAAGATTAGAATTGTCTAAGACTTTATCTTACTTGGATGCACAATCAACACCCTTGGTACCAGAAGTCAGGAAATCAGGAGACATATTGCACTGTAAAAGTCTGCCATCAGGGACCTCTCCAAATTATTTAGGAGCAGTGATGTTAGTTTGAGGGCTAAAGTGTATCTGATTTAGGACATGATCTTTTTGGTCACTTGCTTTGCATATGAGGGCTGGACAGTGAGTAAGGATGACAGAAGAAGAATTGATACATTTGACCTGTGGTGGTGGGGAAAAGTACTGAATATCTCATAGAGTGCCAAAAGAACAAACAAGTATGTCTTGGAGAAAGTGCAATCAGAGTGCTTCTTGGAGGCAAAGATGGTAAAGCTGCATCTCACATACTTTGGACCTGTTGCTAGGAGAGGTTATTCCTTGCAAAGGTGGTGGGTCAATGAAAGAGAAGACCCTCAACCAAGTGGATTGGCACATTGACTGCTACAGTGAGCTCTAGTGTGTCAGGGAGTGTGAGGATGGCAAAAGGTAGGACAGAATCCAGCTCTGTTGTTCATAGGGATGCTTTGGGTTGTACTTGATGGCTGCTAAGAACAACAGCACTTAGAAATGAACCACACAAAGTGATTATTTTCTAAAATTATTAATATCTTTCTATGATTTGTCCTTGCCTCTAAAATTTTATTTATTAATAATAGACTTAACAAATGATTTATGAGTAATATTACAACAGCTGTTATTGTGAAGCTATGCTGTATAAGTTGTAATGAAGTATTATAATGAAATGTGCAAAGAGCTGGAGTCAGAAAATCAAAGGGGCTAAACTTGCTCAAGGAACTGAAGAACAAATTGAAGCATTGAGTTGCAATACTTATGACTGCTTTGTGCAGAATATTAAATGATCCAGGAAGCATTAAAATAAGATGGAAAGAGTATACAGAGTCATTGTAACAACAGGAGTTGGCAGACATAGAAGAATTTAATTAAACAACATATGAGCAAAAAGCCTGTGGTGATGAAGGAAGTAATTCAAGCTGCTCTGAAAGAATTGGCCAAAAACAAGGCCTCAGGAATTGACAGTATACCAGTGGTATATTTCAACAAACAAATACTGCCCTAGATGTGCTCACCAAGTTGTGTCAAGGAGTCTGGAAGACAACCACCTGGCCAAGTAATTGGAAGAGATCTATATTTATACCATTCCAAAGAAAGGTGATCCAAAAGAGTGTGGAAATGTCACACGCAAAGTAAGATTCTGCTGAAGATTATCCAAAAAGGACAGGAACAGCGCATCAACAGAGAACTGCCAGAAGTGCAGGCTACTTTTAAAAGGGGTCGTGGTACTAGGGATATTGTAGCAGGTGACTCAACAGCACATAACATGTTGTATTGAGCTTACCAAGTATGTGTTGCTGGTTAAAGTAGCAGCATGAATGTATTTAGGCATTGGAAAGTGGAGTGGTAGTGGGAAAGGGAGGAGAGAGAGAGAGGAATATGCAACAGTGGATGAATAGTAAAATATTTAAGGAAATAATAAACTGAAAGCCATAGGAACATTTAATATGACTAAACTGTCACTAATTTCTAAATCATGCTTTAATTATAATATATTAATTTCTAGAAATGAAACTTCTTTAAGAATTGTCAACATGTACCTATAGGACTTAACTTATAAATATCTGATGGGTAGAACTAGTGTGAGACTGCTAAAACTCCAGAGAGGGATTTGTACCTTCTGGTTAGCTTGAGAATCATAGATAAATATTGATGATATTTTCTAAAATGCAAGAGAACTATTACAATATTTTAACCTATAGAAATAGTCTTAAAAGTACTTGCAAATTTTTAAGGTTTCATGTACACTACCTCAAAGATGTTAGA